GGGGGGCGGGGGGGGGAAAGCTGAGAGAAAGAAATCAAGTTGCACTAACCTTCAGCCGAGTTACAGGCACAGGCGTTTTCAAGGAACTTAAAGGTGGACAGTGTCGTAAAGCAATGAAGGATAAAGTTTCCAAGATTTTTAGAAAAGCACTGGAGAGCCCAGCCTGTCAGATCTCCTCCCTGAAATACAGACACAGACAGCTTCAGGGTGCCTTTCCGGACAGAGTCAGCCCAGCATCTGTAGACTCACTGGGCAGGCCCTTCTATGCCTCCCGCGACTGTTTCATTGGAAACCTAGCAGTGAAAAGGAAGGTGTGAAAGAGGTGGCAGAAAACAACAGAACATGCCACCCGTTGCACTGTGTAAGTCCTTGCAGAGAGAGGGTTCTGGAGAATCAAAGGCATCTCATGTACTTATTTAATTCTTAGGAGGTAATATATTGGCCCCTTTGGTAGGGTGTATGGGGGTGGGGGAGTGTCATTTCCATTTCAGTTTAATTCTGGCCCCCCAAAAGAGGAAACTAGAGTTTAATAAAACACAGCCTTGGAACCTTCCCTGATTTTTTCTTTTCCCCGTGGTGAAACTGGCTTTTCTTTGGGGAGTGGGGAAGAAAGTAGAGGTCAAGAGTATAAAATAAGGAAACCTCTTCCTCCACCCCTATGAGTTACAAAACGTTAGTGAGCAAGGCCTGGGCAGCCTGAAGGTAATCTGAACGTGCTTTTGACAGAGCACTGAGACTGGGGAAACAGGTGAACTGGCACCTAGTTTTCCGAGAAACTTATCTTTCAACATCTTTAATGGCCAAGGGGTGGGAAGAGCAGACCCTACTTTTCCAGAAGCATCTTAGGTCAATTGCAGGGGGAGCACGATGTTGCTTATCGGGTGTTGGCACCCCTGCTAGAAGGGCTTTTCTACACACCAAACTGAACACCTCCCCTATACAGCCTGCCCTGGTCTGCCGGCTTGCTGGAACAAGGCATTCTTGTATCCTAGTAATTTTCACATGTTCCTACTTGGAAGGCATTCTAGAGCATAGATGATCTTATTAACAATGAAAAAGAAAGTCAAACATCTACACCTTCTGTTTCCCTTGCCGCCGCCCTCCCCCCCCCCAATCTTGCTTCATGGGGGAAGGAGGCTAACCAGAAAAAGTGGAAAGACATTAGACTCTTGACCCCCACGGCCCCTGAGAAATATGCCTGTGCTGGATATTTTACCCACCTCGTTACTTCACAGCTTCATAACTGTACTCTCTACATATTCTCTCCGTCTGTTTGTCTCTGACACACTCACATACACAAGCGCGGCATATATCAGACCAGAAATTTCACACAAATTAGTAACAGGACACTCTTCCCCACCCCTCTCTTTACTCAACAATACCCAGGAAACACTGGCACCCTGGCCAGCCACGGTGACACGGTTCCCAAGCAACACACAAACTGGAGTACTTTCTCTCTCCCTGTCACTTGGTGGGTAGCGTCCGGACCCCTCGTAGACACAGGACTTGGGAGTCTCCGTTTCCAAAGGCCACACTCAATTTCGCACTAAGAGCAAACTTCCAGCACATTGATTTCCGCGGACAAGTCCACGGCTCCCCAAACTATGCGAGTCTCCCTTCAAGTCCACGAACGAGGAGCCTGGCAGCTTGGGAGCCAACTCCCCGCTGGTGCCAAAGCTGGTGTTCGGACAAATGCCCTCTGTAGCTGCGCGCACCTCCTCCCCATCCTCCCGCCCCACTCGCGTCCCGCGCCTCTGGCGCCCACTTCCAGAGAACCTATATCAGAGAGGCAGAAGGAAGAGACGTGCAAAAGAAGAAAGAAGGATTTAAA